GAATTTGCCATCAAATAAAGAATGATGTGGCTTCTGTAACCTTGTGAGTCACTAAGACCAACTCTCCGGTAAAAGCCACCACAGAAAGACACCCCTCCCTGTTTGCCGTCTAAGTACAGCTTTTCTTTCCCAACTGTGTCTCCACCAGAGGCTTCTGCCGAGCCGAGAGACAACCTCCCCATCCGTGCCGTACCCTGAATCATGCAGAAGGCGATGAAACTGCCACAAGGAACCGACATCACACAAATGTGAAAGAGCCCAGCTTGTGACAGCATAAATATTATGTCTGGGAAGACGTCCACAGCAAGGGTCTAGGAAGGAATTTCACTTCGGAAAAGCACTATTTTCAAAGTGGGCAAGTTCCGAGCTGCCAGGAGGCCAACGTAAACAGCAGATTCCACTGAGAAGCGAAACGCTTTCCCGACAGGCCACAGGACACCTGGCTCCATGGGTCCTGAGTGTCACTGAGCCAGGGCGGATGACACTCCTGAAGAGACCTTACTGTCAATGACAGAATGGTCTCCAATCCTGCATGAGTGATGACATCCACTCATATACCTAGTGGCTTACCAAAGGCCTGGATTGGCATTTTAAATTGATCTGCGTCCCTAACCCCTACCAATTAGGCCCCAAGTCTACGGATGTCACTGTCACCAAAACAACAGAAGGGCGCCAGAAAATGTCCACCTTGTGGTTCCCTTGGATATTTATTTTCTGGGTATTTGGTACTAATCTGGCGCTCCACAGTCAAAGCCATATTCCAAATTTGCACATTTTGGCATCCACACATCCCAGAAGATCTACGAGCCAACTCCAGAAACTTTACGCTGCACACAGAAATCTTTCGCCCGTCTTCCGTTCTTGGGGAAAGTCTTTTAGAGGATTTTCAGAACTGTCTATGACATCTCCCAAAGATTAAAATTCACATTCTTAGAACAAATGGAAACTGGCCATTGTTTCCCTCCTTACAACACAGCTATTGGTACCTTTGGGAGCCGTGCGTGCGTTTTGGTTCTCTGTGAAATCATTGGTGCTATACTCTCTGAGGGGCCAGTTCATTGGTAGCCAATGGAATACTCTAGTAGGGAAGAGGCATTTGCAGACATGTCTGTCACCTCTCGCTGTGGGGAGCTTTCTTGTCATCGGAATGTACAGATTGCAGTTATAGACAGAAAACAAAACAAAACAAAACAAAACAAAAAAACGCTCAGTTAATTAACCTTATGAAAGAGTTCTTGTTGACCCTGAACTTGGAGGTGACTGATAGTCTCAGGCCCTGCGATTAAAACCACTGTTCTGAACAACCACTTGTGTGCCTTCCTAATCTCTGGACTTCAGTGAGTCTCCCAGGATCCCCTCTTCTCTTCCCCACCCCCACCCCCACCCGAGAGCTGCTCTCTCTTCTCTTGTGAAGTCACTGCCAATCAACACGCAGATCAGGAATCAAAGGGAGACACATTCCCGGGTGAGATACTTGGAGGAGATCTGAACTACCCAGAGAGCAGGGGGAAGCCAGGGGCAGGGGAGGAAGCCTGAGCTGCCAGTGTTCACAGGGGCCTGCAGTCAGCCAGGCCTTAGAAGCAGGACAGGCAGGTTCTCCCAGTCACAGGCTGAACCTGAGGTTAGGAGCTGTGGCCCTGGCCATCAGCCAGCACCAGACAGATCCACTTCTTGGAAGAGAGAAAACTCCTTCCTTGGGTGGCTCGGGCAGTCTCTGGGAGGGTCACAATCCCCAGGGTCGGGCATCTGGCACAAGAAAGGGAGCACCCTTACATGTCCTCTCTACCTTCCTTCCACACTGAGCACCCAGGCCCCGTGAAGAATCCACCACTGACTGGACTCAACACTGACCTTAAGATGTGTGCACGGATGAAAAGCCAAAACCTTCTGGGTTAGTCTGTGAATGTCAAGGGCATATTTTTAGGCACATTTAAAAAAAAAAAAAACACAGAAAATGAAATAGTTGAGTCTTAAGATCGCTTAATAAAACATAATGAAACTTTTAAAGGATAAAGCTCAGCCAGGGAGATTAGGACTAATTGTTAGAATTAGTGAGAGCATCTATTCCCTTTCTAATGGGAAGCAAACTGTGAGAGGGAGGAGAGAGGAGGGAGAGAGGAGCGGGGGAGAGGGAGAAAGAGAGGGGGAGAGAGGGTGGATTGTCTAGCAGGCTTTGATGACCACAAAAAAGCAAAATAAAATTATATTTTGTGACTACAACGTGAAATTATGAGATAAAACCATGTTCAGTCTTCTGACAGCTTACTTGTCTTATATTATTGACATAAAAATTTTAAACCAAGCCGGGCAGTGGTGGCGCACGCCTTTAATCCCAGCACTCGGGAGGCAGAGGCAGGCGGATCTCTGTGAGTTCGAGGCCAGCCTGGGCTACAGAGTGAGTTCCAGGAAAGGCGCAAAGCTACACAGAGAAACCCTGTCTCGAAAAACCAAAAAAGAAAAAAAAAAAGAAAAGAAAAAAATTTAAACCATAAAAACTCAAGACCAACGTTATATATGGTAGCCGTAACTGGGTCAAGTGGTCAATTAATGCTCCTGAGTTTTAATTACTTTCTATCAGGCATGGAGAGGGGAGCCTGTTCAAATCAATTATAATCCTTTTTTTGCATCTGATTAATTTTTCCATTCCAGGGTCTGAGAAGCCAGCCTGGCCTTGGGTGCTGCTGTTTCCCTTTGGGGGGTTTATGCAAACTCAAGGGCACACTGGCAAGACTCAGGTAGCAGAATGCAAACAGTCCACACCTTGGGGAAACAGTCGCCCGCCCGCCGTTCCTCAGGTAAACACCAGCACCTATTAGTCACCCACTCAGAACAGAGACGGCCAGAGAGCGATGGGGGACCAGCCCTCGGCAGCACAAAAGTAAGCATGCTGCTCTCAAAACCCCATTCCTCATCGTCCTCATCAACTTCCGGTGACGACTGTCAGAAAGCCACCATGCCACCCTCATGGAAAATGTCACCAGAATGGGCCTTTAAATAGTCTTCAAAACTCCCATAGCCAAACAGGACAAAAAGACCCACCTAGACGCCTAGGAGCATGATCCCACTTTCTCTGGCAACCAAGTGATACTCAGCTAGCCATTCCTAAAAGTGGCAATTCCTAAGAACTGATGGAGTTCATTGCTAGGCAGGTGGGGGGCCTGGCTGTGGGGCTGTTATTTCTTTTCGGCTTCCCACCCACTCTGCCAGCAGCTCATCTGAACTCTTCACGGTGTTTTCTGGACACACGCCTCTGAACCATAATGCGAATTCCATTTGCAGAAAGGCAGACTTTCAATATAACAAGTGAGCCCACTTAAGGACACAGGCTCTCCCGGCGGCATCCCTCAGGCTCTCAATAAGTGGAGAGACTTGTCTTTGGATCCCCTATTATTAGCATAGTAGTGTGAACATACAGTTTCAATCACATCACACTTTTTTTGTTTTTCTCTAGGTGTGATTTCATTATGAAAACACCCTGGACATCTAGGCTAGCCAGCACAACAGCCCAGATGCACGGACACTTACCCTCTCCCCTCTTCCACTGAGAACAGATTTTCTAGGGTTTCTGAACGCCTTCGTTCACAGGGGTGATGACCCCTCTGCCTGGCCTTTTCTAGACTTGCCAGTCTGCTGGTTTTGTTTCGTTTGCTTGGCTCTGGGGACCAAGCGGAGGGCCTTGCATGTGCTAGGCTAGTGTTCCAGCACTGGGCTACAGACTCCACTAGCCCCTTCCTGTTTCTTTTCCAGTACAAGAACTGTCACTGTTACTTACACACGGATCCTGTCTTTTTGATTAAGCTAGAAACAGCTTTGACGGCCAAGCTTATTCAGTTCTACAATACAGAAGTGAAACTTTAAACCAAGTCCCCTTGCTGTTAAATCTTCACTACTCGTGGATGTCTGTAAAATACGATTTCCGCCGGGCGGTGGTGGCGCACGCCTTTAATCCCAGCACTCGGGAGGCAGAGCCAGGCGGATCTCTGTGAGTTCGAGGCCAGTCTGGGCTACCAAGTGAGTTCCAGGAGAGGCGCAAAGCTACACAGAGAAACCCTGTCTCGAAAAACCAAAAAAAAAAAAAAAAAAAAAAATACGATTTCCGTCCCAGAAACAAAGAGAAACTACAATAACTGGAAAGTGGGGACGTCCACAGCGAACCAAGGTTTCCCTTGCTACTCCAACACTTTGAAAGTTGGCTAAGGGTGAGGGACAGTCAAACTGCATGTCCACCTGAGCTAAGGGAACAGTTTCTTCAAATAATCTGGTCTCTAACATGATTAACATCTAAATGTTAAGTGAGCCCCATTTCTCTCACCAAGTAATAATAACTACATCATGAAGGTCACGTTGTTCTCGATTGTACTAATATGATCCCATTTTTATCCTAGAAATGTAAGCTTGCTTAAAACCATATCACAGACTATAAGGATTTCTCCCAAATTATTGATGTGAGCAGTTGAAACCCCGTCGCTTGTAGAAAGCACAGGTACCATCTGCTCAAGGCTATCAATGTTCAGATTGCCCAATAGTGAATTCTCATTACATAATCTCAGTTCTCATTGTGGTGAGGTTCACTTTTCTCGTTTCAGAAAAATGGTGAAGTATTTTATGGAAATTTACAATTCATGCCCAGCAGAGGTGGCACACGCCTTTAATCCCAGCACTTGGGAGGCAGAGGCAGGTGGATCTCTGTGAGTTCCATTCCAGCCTAGTCGTCTATAGAGCTAGTTTCGGGTCAGCCAGAGTTACACAGAGAAATCTTGAAAAATCAAAAAAAAGGAATTCATTCATGTATTATGTGTTCCGAGTCAGTCTTAAGCCAATTTAGTCATCAAACATGGTAATAGAAAACGAGACTCTTGCAGAAGTATTAAATTTCAAATAATCATTATATTAAAGTTTGATGCGGCATCAACAATAAGAAACTGCTACCGGCTGGAAACCCTGGGTTTGTTCCCAGGTAGATACTTTGCATTTCAAGTTCATTTGTGACAGATACGCACCTCTACCGCTCCGACCGACAAACCTGAGGTCATTGAATCTTGCGACTTGGTTCTTCATGGCCGCTGTCGCGTTTCTCAGCTCTGCTGAGTAGTTTTCATCGTTGCCTGCCATGACGGTGACCAGAGTGCCATCCGGAACGTCCCCTAGAGCCACCACCTAGACATCAGCCAAGGGACAAAGGCAGACATCAGAGCTGTCGTAGGGACACTTCTACGTCATCTGCGCGGCAATCATTCTAAAATTAAACATATGCTTAACAACACTTTTTGGCTTTTAGAAGAATCATCGTAACTTGAGCATCATAACCGAAAGGCTTGCTGTTAATTCCACAGTGCGTAGATGGATGTAGATTTTCACATGAGGAAGGCATTGATGAAATTGAATGAATAAGGCCACACAACACAGTAGGAACAAGATAAAAGGGAACAGGGACTCTGAAAAGCTACTGATTCTCATCAATGTAGTCATCTCTTAAGACATGTTTGAAAGACAGAAAGTCTTACATGGTAGGTTTATAATCTAATCCACCTTCAAAAAAAAGGTGGATTCATTTTATTATTTTGAATTATGTGGATGTGGGTGCATGTGTGCACATGAGTGTAAGTGCCACTGAGGCCAGAGACATCGCAACACCCTGGAACTGGAATCGTAGGCAGATGTGAGCCACCTGACAGGTGCTGGAACCAGAAGCCGTCCCCTGCAACAGTGTGGTGTGTCCTTAACTACTGAGCCATCTCTCCAACCCCATCTTTACTCGCTTGGACCTCCGTTGGTGCCCCTAGCAGGACCTGGACTTAGGAACTTCAACTTAGTTCTGCTAAACTTAAATTTGACTTTTGCTACTGATCTTTTTTTTTTTTTTTCTTTCCGAGACAGGGTCTCCCATAGCCCAGGGTGGCCTCAAGCTTGTTGTCTGACAGATGGCCTTGACCCCCTGATCTTCCTGTGCCCGCCCTGCAAGATACAGGTATGTGTGCCATCATGTACGCAGCTTCCAATGGCCTGGAAGGGATTTAAATTGCCCATTGCAGCTCATCTCTGGCATCTCTTTTGCCTCTGTTGGAGCCTCATTAGCAGTGAACTCTGGCACTCAAGGAGAAAAACCAGAAATGTGCCATTTATTTATCATTAATTCCAAAAGAGATGACCTCAGAACAAAGGGAGTCCCAATAATCATTCTCAAATCAAAGGTGAAACCAGGCTGCATTTTCACATCTGTGAACCCCAAACATATATTAACTGTGTTCTGAGGTGTTCCTTTACTGCCATTGAGAAGGTAACGGCTTATTATATTTTGAAGACAACTGGTAGATAAACATATTTCACATCCAGAAAACAAACAAACAAACAAAAAAGCAGCAATTTTAAATTAAAATACTCTGAAGTACATGCCTTGAAAATGCTCCACCAAGTATCACCCATCACTTGGCTGCTGTTTGATTGATTCTTTTCATTTTATTTTAGAGCTAGGGTCTCACTAGGTAGCCTAGGATGGCCTTGAACTCACATCCTCCTGTCTTCACTGTGAGGCCAGGGCTTACAGGCATGCACCACCAAGCCGGCGTCTGACTGCAGCAGCGATTTCTGAGTTCTGACTTGATTACAGCTTACATCTGCTTTGTTCCAGTTTCAAAGTGGTCATGGAATTCAAACCAAAATGCCTCAAGTTCAGTTTTTTTTTTTTTCTCAATCGTTTCTGACATACATTGTCAGTCTGTGGTGGAATTGTTATTTATCCTGACAACGTGGTCATTGTTAGGTGGATGTTCTCAAGTTGGGAGCGGCAAAAGCCCTTCTCAATATACTGTTACTTGGTTTTTCGTTTTCTTTGCATACTAGTTGCTGCATAGTTTATTGCAGGAAAATTTCTCTGTCTGCATGTATGTAAATAAGGATGCCACAGATTCGCTAATCGGGTACCAATATCCAATCCCTCTGCTCGCCATCCTCACTGAGCTTAGTCATGTCCCCTTCCGCTCTCCGTTGTCCTGCTGATGACTATCTGGGTGATTTTTATTCTTTGTGGCCGCACCATCTCCTGGGTTCTAAAGAACACGCCAGGAAATGACTCCAGCTGCCCGGAGAAGTGGACAGTCGGGACCCCAGGACATCACCAGGACACTCTGCTCTGGGTACTGGGTAAGTATCTTGTCAGCTCTTTAATTTTATCTGTTTTTACCAACTTGCTTTGTGAGACAAGGACAGAGCCTCTTGCCTCTTTTTAACCCTTTCATTCCAATTGTTGGACATGTTTTCTACAAAGGAGATTTAAAAACATTTATTCTCTGAGCAGTCTGTAATTAGATGTTTATATCCCACCACAAGTGTTTGATGGCCTTTAATTAAGATTAGTAATATGACAACTCTTTTGTTTCAAAGAACATCATTGCAATAAATCTCCCTGATCAGTTAGTTGATCATTATTTACCTTTCTTTCTACTCCTATAAATTCTGCTGTTTTTAGTCTCTATTTTTTCCTCCATTTCTTTCCTCACTATTTTCACTTCCCCTGCACAATCAGCTCACAGTGTTGAAATGTCGTCCACGAAGACGCTTCACTTCCTCACCCTCCTCTCACTGTGGGGGAACTAGGCTTTTCTAGTTCAACTCAACACCCACGGGTACCCAGGATACCAGATCTACCACGGGCTTCCAAACTGAATGCCTTACCGTTGGGGCCCATATCTCCTAAGAGGTTAAAATAAATACATCCTGTTCCACAAGTGCCCAAAGGCATGCTGAGTCACGGCTCTTCTCCTGCTGTGTCTCAGTGTGCCTCAGTTTACCACTGTTACTCCAGTGCTGCTACCTGATTAGTGGGGGGCCAGCCCAGGAGGCCCTCACGGATAGATGCAGACAGTACGAAAGGACCAGGGTGGCTAACTAGGAAAAGGCTGCTGATGCTGGAATTCAAAAGGCTAAAAATCAAGAGTTTAAATTTCACCACTCTCATTTTTAAAGGAAGTGGGAATGGGTAATCTGGGGACTCAATGATTACTTCTTTGGCTTTCTGATTTATCTCCCAAGAGTTTTGGTGGGGAAGGGAAGGAGACAAATTAAATCCAGGGACATTTAACAGTATATTTCATCCAATGACAAGTATACTTAGACTAGGCTAAATTTTTTTTTTAGAGTTAAAACTAACATGTCCTCCAATTTGATACAGATTTTTGTCATTGAGAAGTGATATAAAAAAATGAGAAAAAAATCTAACTTCAGACAGAAATAGAAAGCAGTGTCTGCAATAAAAAGCCATAAACAATAGGTAAGGGAAGACAAACATTTACATTCAGCACAGACCAAACAGACAAGAAGGGACTTGCTGGCCAGAGATAGCTCATATTTTGTTGAACTTCTCTGTTCTCCAAGTATCAGGAAGTTGGGCAAAATATCAGCTCTCCTCTATGCTATAAGGGCTTCCCAGTACTGTTCTTGGCTGGCCTGTTCATAATCGGAAACCGGCATTTTTCAACAATTTTATAGGTTGAAATTACAGTTACAATTCATGTACGGCAAATTCCTTGATCTTCCAGAGTTTCAAAGAAAGAAGGCTATGTGTAGAACATAGAATTCATCTGAGATGGCATTTAATGCGTAGCTAGGGACCACGATCTTCCTGCCAGAAACATGATTTACTCCTTTTTTTAAAAAAAAAAATGAAAAACATATTCCATCAGCACCCAGGGTCTTTGAACTCCCTGTTGAAGGCATGCATGCTCATGCTCTGTGTACCAGGGCCTAAACGAACTGTACTATTACAGTCTTACAAAATCTGTCGCAAGTCACCTGAACAACTTCGCTGGCTGCTTTTACGAATACTGCACAGCACACAGAAGACTTCACAATTTCTCATCTGGGAAATTGTTTCTCCTGGGCTAAGATAAACTGTTTGGAGGTGAAAAGCGGTGCAGAGGAGAGGCAGGAGAACCAATGAGGATGATTTAAATCTATTTTTTGAGAGAATTCGTGAATTTAAATCTCTTGATAATTCTGAAGACTAAAGCAGAGGACTTAACAAAATTCCAGAAGATTCCTGAAGATGCTCCCCCACTAGGGGTGGGTGGGTTCCATCACTGCTTCACATAATTTGGTTTTTATCTTGGAAAATAAGATAATTCCTGTAGGACTGACCTCTAAAGAGATTCCTGAGCCTTAATTCCTATCCGAAATGTAGAGAAACATTTTTTGGTAAGAGCTGGTACAGATTGGGGCCAGGATCCAGAGAAAATGCAGCTAGGATGCTGGTCTGTTTAGATGCACAGCTTCCTCTTAAGTCCAACCTTTACATTTCTTCTCCCTCTGAAAACCCTATCTACTGCCTCCGTTCAGCAGGGTGCTGAGCTCCTGGAAGTGGCCTCTCTCTGTGGGACGGAGTGGTGACAGATATTAATCGAGTGGTCTGATTTTTCTGCTACCCTGTCCTTTCCCCCCAAACTCTCTCAAGGGACCCACTTGAACCTTTCACACCGTGCTGTGTACACCTTGACCTTAGTCATAGCCACCGGCTGTCACTCAGGAAAACAAACCGAGATTCTTTTAGAAGTGGGTTTTCCAAAATCATTTATAAAAAGGGAACCTCTATGGCTGTGATTATTTTTGCTTAAAAGGAATTTTCCGCGGTTTGTAAAAGCAGTACGTATGGTCTTTTCATTCTTTTAAAAGAAAACAAACATTTCCATGTGGTAGCTCAAGACTTTGCATTGCTTCAACTCCTGAGGACAATTTCTAAAAATCAATCATTTAGTGTCTTGGTAAACTGGAGTTCCCTCACAGTAAAAACAGCAGCTCGGAAAAGACCCCCCAAGGAAGGCACAAGTCCCCTTTAGCTCTGCTCTGCAGGGACACTTACCTTAAATGGTCCTTTTGTTGACTACACAAAGCCTGATTTCTCTCTGCTGACAGTGACCTCAGGGCTCAGCCCAGTCAGGTTCCCTCTCATGGTGAGCAGAAGACACCACCAACTATCCTTGTATTTTCTAAAGGAACCGGGATGGCTTTCCAAATCACTGGAGGGGGGAGGTAAAGCCAAAGCCTTGCCTACCCTGGAACCCTCAATCCTACCCCTAACCTTTTAAAAGTTGCTTTCAAAAACTGTTGAAGGCAACATTTTTATAGACAGAGACAATTGCATATTCTATCTCTATAATTTTTAAAATGTGGACGGTGTTTTTAGGGTTTACAAAAAAGGAATTTGGACAGCACTTTTCAAAAGTGAGGGTTATTCGTTGTAATTAGATCAAGGTCCAGCTGAGGCCTGGAACTACGAAAAACTTAAATTAATCTCCCTCCTAAAGGGGACCATTTCTTCATCTTAAAAAAAGCAACCTCTCTTTACAGCTTGGACCTGCCTCCTTCATCAGCCTTTTAAAAGAACAGGACCTAACACAGCCAGTGTGCTTTTCAGCTAGCTGTCCTTTAAAACCCACCACCGAAGAAGACCAAAGAAGAGAATTTAAATTCTCAAGCTCCCTGCCAGAGTAGTAGGGTAGTTGTTTTAAAAACGCCCCGGGTTGTTTATACATCCCTTCTGAAGGCCAAGGTTTAGAGGCAACTGAAAGCCAGGGCAAGATCAGGGTGAAAAGCTACCCGACGGAAGTGAGCTGCCCATCTGAAGTTGCTGGGTCGACACTGCCCCCTCCTCTAACAGAAAAGCCGCGGGATTGGACCTTCCCAGGTGTCAGAAGACACCTCAGCACCTTTCTTGCCCAGGGCTTAATTTTCTGGAGGGTTCCAGAAAAAGCAACAGGATTTGCTACTTGCGGCTTCTGGCAGGAGCAGGCGACAGGCTCGAAAAACTCCTCGGAACTTTGGCAAACTTAACTACGCCTGCAGTGAGTGGACTTTGGACATTCTGATGTCTATAGGGCGGTTAAAAAAAAAAAAGGCGCGCTGGAGGCGGGGGTGTCCCCCTGGCTCTTTCCCTTGTTGGTTTATTTTTACTGACCGGAAGGTATTAAAGTATCTCTCTCTTTCTTTTTTTTTTTTTATTTCCTGATGCCTTCATTTGAGAGACACAAAATGGTCCGGGTGTTCATCCGGAGGTCCGGGAAGCTTACGAAGAAAGACGGATTTGTCCGCCCCAAGGTTTTAACTTTTCCTAGTTCGTAGCAAAGGTAAGGCCCTTGGTAGATATTCTGGGATTATCTTGACTTTTTTTTTTTTTTAAAACTCCTCTTGATGCCTCCTAGGGCTGGCTAAGGTGGGTCCCTCCCGAGGGTCGCCACGGCAACGCAGCATCCCCACATCCCAAACTCAGTGAGAAGAGCCAGAGGCTTCCACAGGCAGCACCCCTGTCTAGATGCCGCTCGGCCTCTGCCCTCTAGGCTCCCCCCGGGCATCGGCCGGCCTTCTCCCGATCCTCCCACCACCCTCTCCAGGCCCGAGTACCTTGAAAGCGATGGGCAGGGTCTTGTTGCAGCGCCAGTGAGTGGGCAGCACGGAGCACAGGAAGTTGGGGCTGTCGGTGCGCACCAGCTCTCCGGGGTGGTCAGCTAGTACCTCCACCATGCTGCGGTCGCCGCTCCTCAGCTTGCTGGCCAGGGCGGCGCCGGCGTCCGGGGCGCCCAGCGTCAGCGCCTCGCTCATCTTGCCGGGGCTCAGCGCGGTGGAAGGCGGCGTGAAGCGGCGGCTTGTGCTGGCATCTACGGGGATACGCATCACAACAAGCCGATTGAGTAAGGACCCTGAAAACAGCTCCTACTAGACGGCGGCAACACGGGCTCGGATCTTCTGCAAGCAGCTCCCGGGAGACCAACATACAAGTTCAGGAGACTTTATCACTACCGGAGGGTTGTGGGGGAGGAGGGAGGCTAAATTACCAACAGTCCCGGACTGAGTTCTAGTTACTCGGATCGGCCCTCACACCCAAGCAGGGCTAACAACTGGCCGATTAGTGCATTAAAGAGTGGGCAACCAGAATCCAAAGTCAAATGCCCAATGGAGGCTCGCTTTCAAAGCTGAAGTTCAATCTTTGGCTATTACAAACGGTCCCGGAGGCAAAATTCCCGTACACGTCCTAAAATATTTATGCGTAGAACAAAAAATGAACAGCAAAAACTAGATTTGGAAGTTCCAGCAGTTAATTGCCCGTCAGTTTGCTTTTCTTTCTTGCAGATCAGTTTTGTTTAAAGTCCCAACGAAATACAAAACTTAGGAGTGTCTTCCATACAGGGCTCCCCTCTTATGAAAAACTCACTTCGGTTCTCAAAAGCAAGAGCCGCAACTTTAAAAGATTGTGCTAGTAATGTATGTGCTCGTATATATAAATATATACATATGATCTACTTCATAAAATATTTACAATACAATCTGTAGAGAATTTAAACACAACAGAAATCCATTAATGTTCGCTGAAGTTTTTTTTTTTTTTTAAGTAGCCTTGAAAATCAGCTTCAGTAGTTCAAAGGCTGGGGTAGAATCACTTGTCATTACTCAATAAATTCTGGACAAATGGTCAGTGCAGAAAATTTAGCTTTACAGAGACCTCTATCTAATCAGGAAAAAAAAAAAAAGCCAAACTCGATGACGCTCAGGCTAGAGCTTCCCCCATCTGAGGACTCGGGTTTGGGAACGTTGGTTAAGTTTGTGGCTGATCCTGTGGTTTGGTGGGAGTTGAGCCGAAGTTGGGTCACAGAGGCAGACGCACTGTTCGGAAGCCAGCCACTGTCTACATTGGTTGAGTGAGTCAGCCCAGACTAGCAGTAGCAAGACGATCTTCCTCCAACGTCGTCGCCCGGCGCTGGCTGGCTGGTTTTTCTGCTGGGGCGCACAAATACCCACGAGCGAGCGAGCACCGTGTAACCGCAGCAGGTGGAGCGGGCCCGGGAGGAAGCGCCGCAGACCGGGAGGCTCGAGTTACACGCGCTCGCGCTCACTCCCACGCGCCCTGCCACGCACACGCAACTTCACGGCACTCCCGGAACCCCAGCACACTTTCTCCCGGAGTTGTCAAAGAGAAACAATCGGAGAAAAGTTCACAGCCAGGAAAGAAGTTGAAACATCCAAGCCTAGATGAAAGCCAGTTCATTCAAAAGTGAGAAAGGAAAAATAAAAAAATAAAAATAAAAGGAAAACAAGGAGGTCCAACGCAGATCGAGGAGGAGCCGCAAAGAGGGTGACTTTCTTGCGTCCCCCGGAGCTCAGGATGGAAGTGGCAGCCGCAGGGCCGGGCAGCGTGGTGCCCTGGCTGGGTCCGGCCGCGGGGCGCCCGTCCTGCCCGCGCCCGCTGGCTCTATGAATGAGAGTGCCTGGAAATGAACGTGCTTTTACTGTAAGGCCGGCCGGAGGAATTCCATTCCCTCAGCTCGTTTGCATAGGGGCGAGCGGCGGCCAATCACAGGCCTTTCCGGTCTCAGCCTGGGCGCGGCCCGCCGCCGCGCTCCTGGAATTGGCCCGCGCGCCCCCGCGCGCTACTGTACGCAACCCTGCCCGGGGACTCGGTGGCAGCCCCTGCTCCCGCACCCACGCCGACCCACGCACATCCATGCACACGCTGCCACGCTTGTCCGAAGCCCGGCCCAGGTGCAGACCCCACTAAACCCGGCAGCCACGCGCCGGGGTGGTACTGCTGCACTCGCGCTGGGTGGTGGGTTTGCCGGGCGCAGCGGCGCCACCGGCGGCCAAGGTCCCGGAGACCCTGCAACAGGAATCGAAAAGCCGGTCGGGCATAGGAACCGGGAGCTGTGCCCGGAGAAGCCCGAGGCCTGGAGGCCTTGGGAAGGAGACGCCCTGCGAGCCCTGGACTCGTAGCTGCCATCCCGAGGCTCTGGGGGACCAGGGCTGGCGTCCCGGAACGGTCCCCAGCCAGCGGTGCACTGCAGACTATGGGCTAAGCCTCCACGTCCCGCGAGGACAGGGTGGGATTCGGCCTCAAGAGGGCCGGAGGGCTGATGGCTGGGTGGGAGAGGCTCTGAGCGCCTCCCCCGGTCTGGCTGGCAGCTGAGGCGAAGTGGCACCGAGTCATTTAAATAAGATCAGTCGCTGCTCCGCCGCAGGAGTTTGGGGTTTTTAAGCATCCTCTCCTTGGTAGAGTTGCTTTATTTAGTGTCTTTTCTCTGCTGCTGGGCTGCGGCTTGATTACGCAGCGCGCCGCGTTCTGAGTGTGCGCAGCGGCTAAAGAGGAGTTAGTTTTCTAACCAAGGCCTCAAAGAACCCTAGACTGCAAAGAAAGTTGAAAGCATCCGGGGTAGGGGAGAGGGGGGAGGCCACCCCGATCGCCCGAGCCCTCAGCCACCCTCCAGCTCCCGGGGAAGGCCCGAGCTTTCCTCCAGACGCTGAACCCACTTCGCTTGCGCACTGTGGGGGCTCTCCCCCCCCCCCCCGTGTCCGTCCCCGTGGCGCCGAGGGCATTTTCGCGGAGCTTTAAGGGTCTGGGTCCTGCCTGGAGCGTGGCCCACTGCTGTCCCCAGCCGGAGCAGCTGGTCTGTGTCTTCCGTGGGTTCCTTCGTTCTCCAGGGCCTTGCCTCCGCCGGGACTTCTCACCACCCAGTCCGTGGAGCCCGTTACTCTCCACATCTGCCCCGAACCCCTTCACTTCCATTCTGTGCTCGGGTCCCCGGCTGGTCCCTGCGTGTGTCCTCCCTCCTCACGCATCCGCGCGGCCCGGGCTCGGTGGAGAAGGACGAAGCCGTGGCGGTCCTGGCACGGAGGCCTGGCCTGGGCTTTAGGGCCGCTTCTTTTGCCCCAGGCGGGGTGGAAGCTGGCGGCCTGGAACCCTGGGCAGGACACGGCGGAGCTCAGGGCGGACGCCAGGGGGCAGCAGCGGCCCTTGTTCGGCGGCCTGGGACGCGGAACTGGGCACTGGGCACGCCCCGGCGGACAGGCGGGCGGCGCGGGGATCTGTCCCACCCGGAGGCCCTTGGAACGGTGGGGTGGAGTGGGGGGGCTTGTGAGTTTGGGAACAAATGGCCACCAGAACACACCCGAGCGCCTCCGTCGCTCAGAGGTGGAAGCCAGGCTAGCCTGCGTGGGAATGCCCCCTTCAGGGGGCTGTCACGATCCGCCGAAATCCGGGCCTCTTGCCTTGGAAACTTCTTTGCCTGAGCTCTGCCTTATGCTAGTTCGCGACATGAGTTCCCCAGGTGTGCAGCGAGCACCAGCAAAAGCTTTTGCAAGTGGCCTCATAGTCCCCAGCCTTCCGCGTTTTCCCAAGTGGGCCTTTCCTGTCCGGCACTAGAATTGGGCCAGCACGGACAAGCTCAGTATTTCCCGTGTGTTTTTTTTTTTTTTGGGGGGGGGGGGTCCGGAGCTTTGAGAAGACACAAATTCTCTATGCTTTTCTTTTATAACTGTTTCCAAAGAAGTCCCATTTCAGGTGTCAACTCTCTGAATGTCCCCTAACACTCCACCTCGCCTGAGTGATGCTAAATGCTGCGGTCCGTCGCCACCCTGCAGCCTACCTTCCCCTGCCGGGGCCACAGCTTCCTAGTGTCCAGGTTTGGAGGTGCCGGCTCTACTGGTGAGTTTGTAGCCAGTGGAAGCTAGACTCCCCTAAGTGCGTTTTCTAAGAAGCTACTTCAAATCTAGTGCTCCTGGGGTCACAGGCAAGCGCATCCCCAGGGGGCACACAGAGACAGAGAGTGTGGCCGGGACAAGTGGCCCTTGACTCCAGGGGAAAAGTTGACTCTGGGTTTTCTGCCTTTCGAAGAGTTAAAGGAAACGCCTCAGAGTCAGACCTCCTGCTTAAAACCCCCAAACCTGAATGGGGTTTCGGGTTGTCTCCCTGGCAGAAGTCAGAGCAACACGCGCGCCGCAGAGTTTAGCTTTCAAGGTCAGCACAGCTGAGTTAAATAAATTCAAACCCCGACAGCAATGATACAGCAACGAAAGCTTCCAAAGCCATCCTCTGGCATCCCTGGACCTGCCGTGGGTTGTCACTGCGCCACCCTGCGCGCTCGTGAAAACCAGAAACAAACAAAACCAGTGTCCCCCTCCTTACTGAGGAACCAGGAACTCCCTGCGCGAAGCTGGGATTCAACCTCGGGGCGCCCAGAAGGCTCAGCCCTCAGGGCTTCGCACAAGGTCTGGAGTCCTGTAGCGGGAGAGGGAACGGACGAATTCCTTCCCACCCAGAGCGCTCATTTCAACAACAATCAACACTTTCGCTCACTTGCCTCACCAAGAGCTGAAGGAAAGGCTACAACTTTCACTTCCAGGCTCCCTACAGTGACACTAAAATTTACATGAGGAAAAAAAAAAAAACCTGCAAGGGAAAGATTTGCTTAAACTGCTACTGTGTGACAGTCTAACAAATTTGTTGCACCGGGGAAATTTAAAAGTGTCCATAACAGGATTGGAAGTTTCTGCAGTGAATTTAGAAAGTGATATTTGGTTTAATGGGAAGCAATCATTTCAATGGAGAACAGGGCGGTGTATTGACTTATTTTTTCCTACGTCTTTGGGTGATTCGCTAATTGTAAGTGGTCGCAGAAAACCAAAGGTTTTACGTGTTTGTTCTATGAAATCATCTCCAAAATAAGATGTACTTAACAGCAATTCTCTCTTAAGTCAAAATTACCCCTCCATTGTAATACTCTATTGTCCAAATCAGATTCTAAATGTGGACCAGTTCTAAAAGGATTGTTTATTTCTCTTCCTCTTTCTTCCTCTCTTACTTTCTTTTCTTTTTCCTTTCTTCCTTCCTTTTTTTTTTTTTTAAAAAAAAAAAAAACAAAACTAGAGAGCATATTCTACTACAAGTGCTGCACTGGTACAGAGTCGCCGCACTGATACACAGGCATGGAGCGATTCTGGTGACTAGCAATTGATGTAACCAGCGACCTGCTGTCCACACAACACAGTCTGGCTTCCAACACTGGAACGTAATCACACTCTTCTCCCTCCTGAAGCACTTGTGGGGCTGGCTCACTTTTCACACTTGTTTACTCAGAGGACCAAACAAACGCCTGAAGCCCTGCACTGCAGACTCCCCGGATGTTCCTCTGCTGTGCTGTGGACAGTGTGGGATCCCTCAACTCCAACTCTGGCAACTCTTTGTGGCCCTTACAAGGAGCAAACTGAAAATCTCTCTCTTTTTTCCTCACAAAATACAGGGCGCTTAGTAAACATTTTACCCTCATAAAAAATCCGCATCACCGCTGCTCTAACAAATGCAATAAACTCTGTCATAGCTGATAGAAGCCAAGCCATATTTTTTCAGAGAGTCATATAGTCCTTTAATAACAGCAGAATGTGTAAATGGTGAACGCCACAGAGCTGAAGGTATCATTTAAGATTTCATTGGGGTATTTTATGTGGTATAACAGCTACAATGTGGATAGCTCCTTTTAAGTATTTTTGCATCAGCAAAAAAAGCTTTAATTATTTGGCAAAATGATATTATAAATTATATATAGAAACACATCAATAGAAAATCATACATATACGAATGTATATTTCATTAAGATGTGTAACTTGGAACCTAACATACCATGAGCCTCTCTAGAAGGTAACCCCACGAATAAACTGAAAGTTACTGAGTTTTTATTCTAATTACAATAAAATGCCAAGTTTAGAGAACAGAATCTCTACAGAATTATTTTTCCTATTTCATTGCTTGTCATATTTCTTAGCATTGGGGGTTTTATATCATGGTCCAAATAAATCCAGCATATTTGGCACAAAAATAAAACAGTGAATCACCAAATAGGTGAACTGTGATCTGTCTAGCATGCAACTTTATGTGTTTTCTACCCATGCTGGATTCCGAATGCTGAATCTCTGTGTCTTAGACGCTCCTTTCTCAGCTGGACGCATGAACACATGTGAATTATTTACTAAAGCTTTGGGGATGACTCAGACCTCCAGGTGAGATTAAAACCAAATCCCAGCTTAATACAAAATGTTTTAAAATCAGTAACATGATAGAGGCTAAGCACAAGAGGTAGCAATTCATTGAAAGCAATTTCTTTCCTTAAAGCAAGTGTTTATCCAAATAAACAATTTGGAATACATCTTCTAAAAGAAACAAGCTGATGCTTCCGTGTTCCAATTGCTTCCCTCAAGTGATAGGATATTCCAGAAACATTCTCCCTGTGATGGCTTCCCTGCCCTTTCCAGTTAGGAGAGAGTCTGTTTACATGGAAACCACTTCTTCTTGAAAGGACACAGTCTTCAACACCCTTGGGAATCATTATCATATGCTAATTTCCCAGGATGAAGCATTTTCTGCATTCTGTTGCATCTAAGGTATTGGGAAGCCCACTGAGAAAGTCCTGTGAACCCGCTCTCTTCCTCTTGTGTATTCACACTTAATGTGAGTTGGAGATTACCCCTCAGCCTTGCACACGGACCGCGGTCAGCACCACGTGACACGAGGGGTATATGGTTTCAAACCTTAGAATCCAGGAAGCCCTACTCTACAACAGTATAAGATGGCTTAAAAACAATGTTGCAAAGAAGAACAGAGCTAATTATTCCAGATTTCTGGACGCTGTTTAAATAGGCAGGAGGACAAGATTTGCAACTCCCTAGTCATATATTTTTGCCAAAGCAAAAGAGCAAATACAATAATAAGGCTTCTGTAGGACTGTCCTCTAATGAAAGATTGAATGACTTAAATATATATGGCCTCCAAGGAGCATCCTTAAAACAGTTTTAAAAGATCATAGTTTACAAGTACATAAAATATCTCTGTAAAAAAAAAAATTTTTTTAAACAGAGTAGGGGCAGAATAATTCACACTAATTATTAGTGATAAGGTAAGAAATAACAAATGAAGCTGAAGCAAAGCAAGCTTGGTTCTAACAGGCGAGGGTTGGGCCTAAGAGATTCGCACAGCAAGACTGAGCAGCCCAGGCAGATTTATCCAGAGACCTAGTGCAACCAAACTCCGGAACAGTCTCATGAACCAGGAGACACCTTCCCGTGTCAGGGCGAGAAACTGGAAAGGCAGAATAGACAGCAGGTGTTTGTGTATACACTTAATACTTCAAAATTCTTAGAGAAAAGCCGAAGGTCTTTTTATTCTAAAAACCATGACAGAAGTGACTGGATTGTGAGAGGTCTGTGTGCTACCGTTAAGAACTTTCTTAGCTCCTGTGACATCAGCCTTGAGGACACAGGGAAGTCAGCTGACCTCAGGGAAGCCCTGAACTGATGTGCACAGGTAAAGTCAGACCTGCGTAACTGTGAAGGGATCCCCAGCTCCAGGAGCTAGTTAGGTGCCACCCTGGAACAGGGAGAGGGCAGAGGCTACGTGCTCACAGGTGGGAGCTGGACGTGGCTGCTTTGTCTGTCATGCTCTCCCGTCCTTCCCCACTGCATGCCATCATAGGCCAGGCAGTGATTACAGCCGCCCCGGTTATCCCTTGGAATG